TTTTAAAAGGAGTCTCGAGAAGTCGACTCGCATGAAACTTTGGTTGAGATCAGAGCATCCTGACAGTATCACTTGCAGGATTTTTTATTGCGATCATGCTGTGGCCATAGTGACATCAGCTGCAGGAGTTTCTTCCCATAAAGGTTCAAAGTTTCACGATGTGAATGTTAGTGTCTAAGATAAGGGGTTTCGCACAGTTGCAAACTGTAGACTTTAAGACGAACTTAAAATTAGAGTAGGCCAATTATGAACTTACAATATCAATCATAGCAATGTGTGTGTGTGTGTGTGTGTGTATCTACGAACAACCAAAAATGGAAATGCCAACAAAGATGAAAATGCAGCAAAGAAACAAAAAGTAATAGTTTTGGAAGTGAAGTTTGAATCAAACATAAATGGAGTTATGGAAGAAATAGCTGACTATAGGAATGCCCCGGGGCCGGAAGTAGGTCCCAGAAGGAATGCTGCGCGTCCTGCAGCGCGAGTTGCAGAACGTGCAGGTGAACCCAGAAGGTGGTCCTGTTCGAGGCGCACATCCAGGCGCAGAGCTTCCGCCATGCCCGCGCCCCGCAGCTCGCGCCTGGGCCCGGGCGCGTTCGCCCTCCCCGAGCCCCTTCCGCAGCAGCAGCCAGCCCCGGGCAGGGCCCTGGCTCAGAGCGTGGGACGGAGGACCAAGTCCTGTGGGGAGCGGTGTCCAGAGACCTCGGAGGCCGACCCCGCCAGGAGCGCCCCGGCGCCCAGCCCAAGCCTCTCCAAGGACCAGGAGGGAGTGGCACCTCTGCCCTGCCCGGCCTCCCCGTCGGGCTCCGGGGCTCAGGGCGCAGCCCCTTCGGTGAGAATGGAGGAGGGGGTCCCTGCCCGCCCCCCCTGTGGCTCACCGGCCGCGATGGAGATTGACAAGAGGGTCTCCGCTCTGGAAACTCCGAGCTGCCAAGCTCCCTCGTTGGGCCAGGTCGGAGCGAACTCCGTGGTGGCTGCAGAAGTGGCAGCGAGAGCCACGTCCCCTGGGCCGCACCACCCGCAGGACCCTGCCCTCTCGGAGCTGCCGGAGAAGCCCCGGGGTGCGCATCCCCCGTCACCCCCCGCCGCCCTGGTGGAGGGTAAGGGGCTGGCGCTGGGCAGTGAGACGAGCCCAGCCCCAGAGAGCGTGGGGCCCGGCGGTGGAGAGCCCCCTGGGACGGCGGGGAAAGGCCGTCCGCCCTGTGGCCAGCCAGGCTCCGGGCATCCCGAAGCGGGCGCCAGGCCGGAGGAGAGGACTGTGGACGCGCAAAGCGCAGTGGACGTGGGCTTGGTAGAGCCCGGGGTGACCCAGGGTGGGGCCCCAGCGGCCCGGGAGCCTCTGCAATGCTCCAGCCGAGTGGATGAAGGGTCCCCACCGCTGGGCTTGCTTGGGGGCAGCCGCTCCGCACAGCCAGGCGCGGAGGAGGCGGAGGCGGGAATTCCCGCTGGCGGAATGCTGGAACCTTTGCCCTGTTGGGAAGCAGCAGAAGATGTGAAAGACCCTCAGTGCCTCCCTGCGGACGGGGTGGGCGTGCAGCCCGGGAGCTCCAAGGCTTGGCTGAGCCCCATGGAGGAAGCCTGCCTGGCCTGGACGTGCAGCCTGGGGGTACCAGCCCAGGGGACTTGGGGAAGCCCCCCGAAAGACAGAGCCACCCACTCCGGCCCAGAGCTGCTCTCCCCGGAGCAGGAGGACAAGCCTTTGCTGCGGGAGGCCTGCAGCCCCGGCAATATCCCCGCCGTCATCATTACAGACATGGGTGCCCAGGAGGATGGGGTGTTGGAGGAGGCCCAGGGCAGCCCGCTGGGCATCCTGCCCCTGAGGAAGCTGTCCTCTTCCTCGGCCTCCTCCGCCGGCTTCTCCTCCTCCTACGAGGACTCGGAGGAGGACATCTCCAGCGACCCCGAGCGCTGCCTGGACCCCAGCGCCGCCGCCTTCCTGCACACCCTGGACCAGCAGAAGCCCAGAGTGGTAAGTCTTGCCCTGAGATTTTTCTAGAACTTGAGTTGCTTTCATGCCCTCCTGCGTTTTCCGACTTTCTACTGAGTCACGGAGACTGGCCCGGGCCCTGGGGCAGTCACAACTTACTATTCTCTCCGGGTGTTTGTAGCTATTTCCATGAACATCTTAAAAAAAAAACACCAGTTTGTATGTAGGTCGCCAGTCACTTCTGAGGAAGATGGTGTTCTCGAATGTTACCAAAATCTTCCCGATTAATCCCCAGCGGGAGTGAGCAGAGCTGCTAAGGGGAGCTGCTGTCTGACCAGGTGAACCACTTAATGCTGAGATTCTTTTAGGCAGAGGACAAATGACAGGGCGGCATTGAATTGGCTCGGCCTCTATGGTAAGAGGCCAGGAAAACGGGTGATGCGATTCTGTGACAGGGCCTGAGACGTGGAGATGTGGTTGTGGCGGGTCTATCGGGTGAAGAGCCACTGGGCCTCAGTAAGTTAAGTCAGGACATGGCAATATTCATGGGGCCGGTGTAACTAAGATACAGTTTTGATGTGTCAGTGAAAAGAAAAACCAGGCTTTGCGTTTCTTTAACCACAGAATGTTGCGTTAGGTCAGATTGCCGGGCTAGGGACCTGGGTGATGTCTCCAGGGTGGACACCACCTCATGGACATGCGTGCTGACTGGTATGGGTACATGTTCAAGTGCATCCGTCCTGGTCCATCGTGCTGACATCTTGTTTATTTCTGCTGTGGTTAATCTCAGTCCTCGGCTGTTCTCGCTCTGAGGATGATCAGAGTGTCTTACGGAAGACACGCGTTGAAGGTAGCGCTTCTGAAAGGGCCTGGACTTTCTCTCAGCTTTTCCAGCGTCTGGGGAAATTCCTCGCTCAGCCAGCGAGGGCTTCTTGTGCTCCTGGGGAAAGTCTGCGTGTTCGTGTCGTAGGCAGCCTTCCGATTGCATCTGAATATCCAGCCCTGTTGGTTGTGCCTCTGTGACTTAACCCACGGCACCGAGAACTTTGTATTTCTACTCTACATCCTTGTCTAAGGTATCTTAGGCCTCAAAGCATGTTTGTCCCTCGTTCCCACTTCAGAAATCGCAGTCTGCCTTTTGGAAACCAGGGCATTTCTTTTCATGAAGCTCTGCTTTCTGTTGGTGGTCGGGAGGCAAAACATGGCCCAGGTCAGCCTGGCATTCGGTGGCCGGGATGGGGTGTCAGGCCTGGCCCACTTAGCGGAGGGCTGGCCCACCTGGGAGGGTGGCGGTACAGGACGGTGGAAAGTGCTGCTCCCGGGAGACGGGCCGGCGTTCTCTGCCTTCTTGCCCACAGTTACAGGCGAGGAGGACATGGCCTTCTGTTCATGCCTCCGTTTGCGTTTTAAACCCCGAAGCAGCGCTGGCACAGCCCAGGTGCTGTAACTTGTTCTCCCACTTTCCGTTCGCCGATTCTAGCGGCGGATCCGCAGCTCCTATGGGCCAGTTCTCAAAACAGTTAGTGCATCTCGTGTTTGAAAAGGGCTCTCGCCTGGAAGAGAGTGGAGGGGCGAGAAATAATGACAGGGGACCCTCGTGTTTGTGTGTGTTCGTGTCAGGTACCCGAGGGAAGCTGACTGAGAAACCGGAGGCGGGGCGGTGTTTTCGGCCTGCCCCTGTCCACCGCCTTCCCGCCTTTACACAGGTTCCCAGACTCCCCAGAGCAGGGCCAGGAAGGGTCCCTGCCCGCCCTGCTCTCTGACTCACACGAGGCTGATGGAGAATGTGTGTTGGTGGGGAGGGGGTAACCAACTGGGAATTATGGGGTCCCAGGGACATTTGAGCTTCTGGTTGAGTGCTGGCATGATAAGCTAAGTTTTCTGTTTCTTGTACAGATTGTTATGGTGGAGCCGTACTTGTGACACCACAACATCTGCTCATTGGCTCAAAAATCCCTTGCTTACCAGGTATTGCTGTTTTGTCTACAGACGGCCAGACATCTTGATTGGCTGGGCTTCTCAGTGTTTTGTAGATAAACCCTGAGCCAGCTCTGTCTGAGGCGCTGCGGTACCAACACCCCTTTCTCTCCTCTGGCTTTGCTGCTTGTTTTTATCCGGCACCCAGGTGCTCACACCCTCACAGGTGCTCACATTTCACTCAACACAATCTCACACATGTCCACGCTCACACATGTCGACGCTCACACATGTTTCAAATTCACTCACCTTTCACACTCACCATTCATCCTTAAAACATACACATACATTCACTCATACAAAATACACACACACCCTTCACCTGTGCTCACAACACACTTTGCACACTGTCACACACTGTCACACCCTCACTTCCCACACACACCCTTGCACATGCTCTCTCACACACACACACACACACACACACACACAGGTTTGGAACTGCATGTTCCACCCTCCCGCCCCGGCCCTGGGGTTTGAGCTGCTCTGCCTCTGCCTCTCCTCTGAGAAACAGGCCTTGGGAGTGACTGGGGCTGTGCAGGCGGAGGGGCCGCCCAGAGGAGCCTGAAGCTGGCTGCTTTGTGGGCTCCCTGCTGCCTGGCCTCCCGGCCGCTCACCACTGCTGGGATCTCAGAGCCGGTGAGCGGGGACCTCCCTATAGTTAACAGCACGGGGGGGAAAAGCAAGCCCTTTGGAAATGCACTCTGACAATTACTTCTCCATTTAGATTATGCAAATTAGCCAAGGCCTTTTTACTGGCAGGGAATGCGGTGAGAAGGCCACTCTCCTCATTTGCCCCCATGGGAAGCAGCCAGAGAGAGCCCCAGGGAATGCGCACAGCTTGAGGCCTTTCCCGTGTCTCCTGATGCGCCTGACAGATGCATCTGTCCCTGAAGCAGAACGTTCCGAGTTTTTGCACCTGATGTCTGTTTATAAACGATGGGACTTGAAATTTGTTCGGCAGAAATGGTATTATGTGCCTTGTGTTCAGTGGCTTAAGTTCGGGCATTTATTCTTCACTGGATCTGGACAGAAGCGAGTTTCTCCGAGTGAATTTCTCTTTTATTCTTTAAAATAACTCAAAATTAATCAGCAGTTCTTTACTTTCTTCTCTTATTCCATTCACTAGTATCTGAGCCATTGAAACACCAGGCTTAAAGTACTACATTAAAATATGTGTGCATATTACTTTAAAAAAGTAGATTTTATTGATTTGCTCCAATATTGTACTATTAATTATGGGTACAAAAAAACCCACACAAATGTTGGCTTAGCTATCTGTGGTGTGGGGATCAGATGGATATATAAAGAAGGATAGTACAACATTTTTTGGTTTCCTGTGCTTACTACTTGTTAAGGGCTCTTAGTGTTTTGTTTCTTTTGCTTTTTTTGGTATTGACTAGTTTTGTGTGTGTTTTCCAACTACAGTTGACATACAGTATTATAGTATTTTTAGGGGTGCAGCATGGCGATTAGACATTCATATAACTTAGCAAGTGATCACCCCGATAATCTAGTGCCCATCTTTGTTGTCTTGTTTGTGAAAAACTAACTCACACATGTACTAAAAAATTCCATTTATAAGGGTTCTGTGTGGTTTTGAAAAGTATAAAATTTTTATTTGTGGGCAAACCAAATTAAAATTTAAAGGCCTTAGAGGATTACTTAAAAAAAAAAAAAGAATGTAGTGGTAAGTACTTTTAAGTAGAAAATTCTTTTCTGGATGAGAATGTTAAAGGCCCCGATCTGGCGGGGAGGGAGAGGGGAAATCTGAGTCAGGTTGAATATGCAGTTTTCTTGAGACGGGGCCTCCTCCTTCTTTGTCCGGTATGTGGATCGGAACTTTCTGGCAAGGCCTCCGCACCTTTCAGGTCTGGGAGGACCCTGAGTCATTTATGTGAGGTTCTGGGTGTTACTCTAGTCTGTTTGGGGACAAAGAAACCCAGACTGAGCGAGACAAAGGGACCCATGAGTGGCTCCACTCTCTGCTCAGTTTCCTCCTTTTAAAATGTGTCTCTTGCGTTGAGGGTGACGTCATGGGGGTTTGTCTAGTTCTAACTGTCTGTGACTACGTAATTCTAGACATTTGACCTAAAACGTGGTGTAGGTGACATTTCAGGGCGTCTGGAAGTGTGGCAAGATTCCTTTGGTGCAGACCTCGGGCCCAGAGGCCAAAACTGGGCACATTTAATTCTGTGCTTTGACTTAAGACCCATCAATCGATGTGTCTGTCATCTCTCTCTTCCCTGGAAGACTGGTTCTTTGTAATTTCATGTTGAAAAGGCATCACAATAAATCATCAGTAGGATCCCAAGATTCTCATTAGTAGCTAGACTGATATTAGAAGCTGGCCTGGTAGGGTGCCAGGACATGAACTGCAAAGTAGAACATGCTGATATGCGAGGGCTTTGGCCTCCTCAGATGTTTCTGTTTGGAAAGTGAGGCTTTGCCTGCATAGAGCCAAAACATCGCTTCAAAAGTCTTTCGTTTTTTAACAAAGATAGAAGTAGCTCAGCCAGCTGAAAATGCTTTCAAGTGAAGGTGGAGGGCATAGAGAAAAGGAGAGACTGATGTTGAGGCATTGCAAACACACAGCTCAGGACTCACCTAGCCTTCAGGTTTTATAAGAAAAACATACTAAACCGGTCAGTTGCTGCCTCGAGAAAAATGTATTTCAGGTGTAAGAGAAATCGCTTTCAGCACTTCTGTTTTTAAGCGCTGAATTGCTACGGAGTCACGTTTGTGATTTTGTTGGCACATACCTGTTCCATGCAGTTACAGATTAGATTAGTTTATTTATGTTCCTAGGAGCATGGATAACATTGCGTAGGCTTATTTTATTTTGTCAGGTTTGACTTTGTTATCTAAAGGTAGAATTTAAAAATATTTAGCGGAGAGAATTTTATATCTTGATAGAGAAAACTTTGGAGACTTCAGGTAATCGGCAGGAACCTGAATGAATTCAGGAACTCCTGTAGGTCCAGTTGTGGTTATACATTCGTTGTGGACGGTTCTATGGGTTTTGATAGGAGAGGAGACCTCGATGTAGGGAATGCCCGTTGTGC